CTGCCTCATTTTAAGAGTATACACAATGAACATTCCGATATATTATTAAAAACATTGAACACACGACCAAAATGAGGAATATATATGAATAAACTTATAAAATTATATTTAGAAAAATACACCAGTATATGTGTTGTATATATTGCGACATGATGCCCTAATGCCGGAATAGCGATGTCAGAATAGACGCTCATTGTTAGGAAACGACTCGGTAAACACTTTCCGCGGCAACGAATGTGAAAGTAACAATCAAATAACTTCCATTTCTATGTAACGACGCTGTAAATACGCCTTCCCAACAATAGAGATACTGTGCTCTCTGCGTGGTCCGTGCAAAGTGGTTATAAAGAAGAGCAGCATAAATTGAAGGGTTGAGTTTAGGGAAGCCAGCCTGCCTGGACATGAGCCTGGGACCAGAGGAATTGAACTGCGTCGAGTCTTCGGAATTGACAGCTGCAGAGTAAGGATAAGAAGGGAACTGGACGGTGAAAAGAAGACTTCATATGTGATTTGAAGTGGCAGTGAAACTGTTATAAAGCCGTTGCCAGGATACGACTAGTGAAGACTGAAAACACTTGTGTCTGTGTAACGGTGAACTGTAAAATGTGTAGTTCAGCGATAGCGCTGTAATTGCCTGTAGTCGCGAGTTGTGTGAATGTATAAGGTGTAATAAATCCAAACATCCAATTTTCAGAACCCGTCTTTTAAGTCACGCACAAACACCCTACACATATCGATATATAAAAGATCATAAAGGAGAAGCTTAATAACTGTAATGTAACTCTCTCTTTAAACATACCTGTAACATGTTCGAGATATGAAGACAGGACGGATTCGTGTTTTGAAACACAAGCGTACTTCCTCAATCCATATATACTCGAACAATCCATCGAGTTCATACAGCTTAGCATTCCTCCATGAGGACATAACCAAAAGGTTGCAATTTAATATTTTGATTTAAGCGGGGTTATAAAATGACCTGGAATTATACTACGCGTGACCATATGATAGGATATTCATGAAACTGTAGTAAGAAAAGAAACGAGTTGAACGGTAAAAATCTGTCGGACGTATGTAATTTCGTATTCAGATGAGGTAGCTAGCCACTGCCAAAACCGCACACCGATCCGCCCACACAGACATCAATGAAATGCAGTCTGACCGCCCACTTGAAGGAAGTAATGCACAGTAAGCAGAGTCCTCAGGTGGCGGTTTCATTTTTTCTATTTCGTAAATTATCCGTGCTAAATGTTGGGCTTCCCAATTACGGGTGGTCAGTCTGTAATCTATGGCCCACCTGTGGACGAGGAACGATGTTCAGTAAAACGACATAACTAAAATTACTCAATAAACTAACACTGAGATGCAATGTCTTTCATGTGAAATTGATAGCTACTGAGCTAATTAACGAATTCCTGATTTTATGGAACCCGAAATCTTAGATCCGTGTTTGTAAATTTCAACCACTGGATCCTATCTCGAGTCAATTGAATTCAGCCCACCACTTCATGTCCCATTCCATAAGGTCCAATAAAATATCAACCAATATGGACGTCACAGTCAAATTGCCTCAAACCTTTAGGTTTTCTCACTGCAGTTTAGTTATGTTTCTTACGTGATCACATTGGATACTGGCAATCAATCCCATCCCATTCTCCTCGTTTAGAGGTCAGAATGATATTTGACGTAGAGTATGTACCTTNCCCCCCCCCCCCAGCACTTCGTTCACGGCGGCCCTGAACTCACTTAACATGATCATTAGGCAATTGGCTACATAACTGATGGATAAAATGTCTTTCTTAAGGCTATCTGAGTAACTCACTATAAAACAGTTGGCTACATGACCGACTCACTTCAGAAGATGCGAAATAATCACCTAACTAGCTACATACTCGAGGGACTGACTAAGTAGCTAACATGCTCACTGCCACATAATTGGTTAATTAAATAACCGATGATTAGACAATGTTTCCATAGCTAACTATGTGTTTAACAGACTGACTGGCCAAAGCAATTTCTTCATGAAATCAGTTGAGGCACCATCCCAAATGATAAATGAAAGTAAGGCAACAGAGAGTTTCGGGCCTAAAGTATGCTGGATAGTAAGAGCGGTCACAGAAGCAATATGTAAAGGTTTTGTGTTTAAGTTTCTTGACTCTTCTTTAGCTGTTATTCGTAGGTAGTACGGTCAGTCCTCCTCGAGGGCTTCCTGCGCGCTCCAGTGACCCTGAGAGCTATCCTGGAGGAAGCGTTAAGTTCCTGGTAAGGCCACCCATGTCAGACAGGTGAAAAGGTAGGAGCCTGATCTTCCAGGCTGAGGGAGGGGGATGAATTGGAAATCCGCACAGGGTAGCTCCAGGGTTCCGGATAATTTTGACGGTTTAAAATCGACAACAGTGCAGAGTGTCCCAAAAGTCTGCAACCATAGGCAATATCATCTTCAAGAACAAATTATCAGTGCAAGCAGTTAGCCCACACCACAAAAAAGTCCAAGGTGTTCTCTTGGATCTCAGATATCATTTGCACATTTGCATCTGCGTGATTGGAGGATGTATTCTTTACAAGCTCTGTCGGAACTCCAGTATATCTGTGGTTATAAGTTCAGGAAATAATATATAGTGATTTCGTCATATTCATTAACTAACATCGGTTTAATCGATAAATCAAATAGCTAGAAAATGTCATTGACAGGGTTGTAGGCAACATTATTCGACAGACCGTAGAAATGCAACATTTCTCTTTGAACGAGAAATTGAACTTGTTTCCTTCAGTATTAAGGATAAAACTAAGGATAACACACTACATAATAATTACATTACTGATCGTTAGGCAAGAAAAACACGAAGAAAATGTCGACTGGTTTTGCATATGACAATGAGCAATAAAGCTTCAGCCTCAGGCAGCTGCACGACTGCCTCTGAAACTCCCATCTTACTCGTGAACTTATGCTTACATTAATTCCAGGCCAGCAGAGGACGGAAAGGGCATTACTTGCAGCTAAGTTATATCTGTAACAAGCCAGTATCGTCCTATGCGTAGGATTTCAAATTCAGTGCCTATAGAAACTGCTAAAGCATACCTTCTTCTTCCTCATACTCGTCCCTCACACTTCAGGCAGTAATGCCTGTTGCACCTACAACTGATTTCCCCATATTTTTCGTAGGCGTCTCAAAAATACGTAATTCTTATAATAAATAATACTAGTTACTCAGACATTCCAGCGATAACAGATCGAAACCTGATTCAGGAGGAAATAAAGAGGGGACTGAACTCGGGTAATGCTTGCTACCATTCAGTCCACAACCTTTTGTCTTCTGGTCTGCTGTCCAAAAACAAAAAAATCAGAATATACAAAGCTATAACTTTGCCTGTTGTTCTGTATAGGTGTGAAACCTAGTCTCTGACATTAAGGGAGGAACATAGACGGAGGGTGTTTGAGAACAGGATGTTGAGGAGAATATTTGGACCGAAGAGAGATGAAGTGATAGGAGGTTGTAGAACACTGCACAATGGGGAGCTTCATGACTTGTACTCTTCTCCAAGTATAATTAGAATGATCAAGTCAAGGAGGATGAGGTGGGCAGGGCATGTAGCACGAATGGGGGAGACGGAATGCGTATAGGATATATCTGGGAGAGCCAGGAGGTAAGAGATCACTGGGAAGCCCAAGGCATAGGTGGGTGGACAATACTCGTATTGAAATTTATCTTAGAGACATAGGATGGGATGGTATGGATTGAATTGATCTGGCTCAGGATAGGGACCAGTGGAGGGCTCTTGTGAACACGGCAATGAACTTTCGGGTTCCACAAATGCTGTGAAATTCTTCAGTAGCTGCAGAATTGGCGGCTCCTCCAGAAGGGCTCAGCTCCATGAGTGAGTAAGTAAGTAAGTAAGTAAGTAAGTAAGTAACTCAGAAATTAAAATTACCTCACTTGCAACACCACAAGAGATTTTTGTCTTGTGGTGTTGCAAGTGGGATGTGAAGTTTTGAAAGAAATAACTTAATCCCCACATAAAGCCAGTAGTTGTCCTTCAAGTTTATTTCGCTCAAAGTCTTTTTGTAAGAATATTTAGATGATTTCACTTCACACGTGACCCAAAATTAATGTCTGCGCTCCTGTAATCATCCAAAAGTTCACTGTTTTTATTGAATTGGCTTATCATATACCAGAATCTGACATAAAAACACGAATTGGAATATCTCTCTGTTGAATAATCTAATGTTATTATATTCATGCACCAAATTTTGTAGAAGACTCACCGTTACTGAAAATACAGGGACAAATGGAAACAATAAAAAAATATGTAAAGTTATTTAATATTTACAATATGGGCCTAATGTTAAATAACGTGATGAAAAATAATAATGACGTTGTTTATGTTATTGTTAACAATTCTTGTATGAATCCATATGATAATCTATTATGTTTATGAGGAAGCAAATCTTGAAGTACCTCTAATAACATGTAAGATTTGAGGCTTTCACGGCGGTGACTATGAAGAAAACAATCTTCTGGGATTTGGCACCGTGTATATGTGGTGTTAACCGACGTTCCTCCGAAACGTCGGTTAACACCACATATATACGGTGCCAAATCCCAGAAGACTGCTTTCTTCATCTCTAATAATAGTTCCACATTCTGGCGTCAGAGTTTATATAGGTTTACGAGAACCCTGAGGGTGTCACGACGGTGAAAATTAAGCCTGCTCTTCTCCGTTATAACGCCGTATAGTGCTATAGGGTGTTACCACCTTTCTAGATGAATGAATCTGACGTACTGATCTACTTCATTTTATCTAAAACACCAACATAGAATTCCACTATAGGCTCAAGCCTGTTGCAAGCATTCTCTATATGAAACGTAATCTATTGTCTAATAGATAAACCGTTCAGAATTAAATTCCACATACGATAATAACAACAAAAGTAATTAAGACCTCCGATTAGCTAACGTCCCACCCTCGTCAAAGTATGCCAACGGCATATAGTAACTTACCTGTGTGGAGAAACAGGTGATTCTTCAGGTTGGTGTGCTTGCTGAACCCCCGATTGCAGATGTGGCATTTAAAGGGCCAGGACCCGTTGTGAACATACATGTGAGATTTGAGGTCCCCAGGTGTGGGGAAAGACTTGGAGCACAGACCACACTTGTGCGGCTTCTCCTGCAACAGAGACATGCCAGTCGTCACTTTCCCTTGCTACTGTCGAGATATATCGTTCAGAAGATATGGCTCATGCGTTACTGGTTTATTTGTTGCTTGAGATCGACGAAAGAAATTTGTTGCATCACATTATCAGCTGAACTTGAATTCTGGTCGCTCTCCAACAATAAACACTTATGGAAATATGGATTACTAATAGGAGAAAGTCCTTCAAGTACGAATCAGGAAGAATTAATTGAGACCTCTTCATAAAAATGTGTAACATTTTCCATTCCCCACTGCATCACTGTTTCCTTCATAGCTTATTTCGTTTCTCAGCCTCATCAACGATGATGATTGTGCGAGTATGCAATGTGAATGTGTTCTGCAGTAATAGATTTGTAAAACTGAAAAGGTGAAGTTTCTCATAATATGGAGACGACTAGATAGAGTGAAGGTAAAACTCTACGCGTACACAAGCATAGTAATAGCTAGGGGTGAAATATCAGCTTCAATCTCGAGCCATTTTATCCCCAATGAAGCAGGTCCCATTTACAATAATTGGGATCCAGGCTAGGCCTACCCTGCACGGGTCTTGAAGTGGTGACAAAGAGAAGGATCGCCCAGCCTTTCAAACCGCGATGAGCCGTCCCGACCCGCGATACAAATGAAAGCCATAGAACATAGGCCCTCCTTCATGTTTATAGGCTTCGAAGTTCCAATGCACGTCATGTGACCGATATTTTCATGGCTTTCTCAGTCCCTCCATGCAATGCTGGAACAGTACTGTAGACTCTGTATCTGTTAAATCCATTTTTATATTGGCACTTATATACGACGTAGGTGACACTGGATTGGATATTTGATTTATTAACCACTTGCACACACAACCCGGAATTACAAGAAATTACAGTGCCGCCGCTAATGTTCACAATTCAGAAATCATCACAACACCCGCTAATTTTTCCAGTTTGCTATGTTTTCACTAGCTGTTCCCGGTAATGGCTCCTAACATTGGAGATTCTTCAGTTTCCGCTCTCAAGTTCTCTCTGAGTGGCTGCTCCCTTCCAGCTGTCCCTTTTCTTCACAGTCTCTTGCTTAGGTTGCCCTTTTCTTCCGTTTTTTCCAAGCTGCTTTAAATTCTGCATAATACGGTTTGGACATAAAACCGGATACAGAAATAAGAACTACATACAGAAATTTTGTAAGCTTTAAAAACACCTGCTTCACAGACCGAGAAGGAGTTTGGAAGATAATATTAAGATGTTTTCAGAGAAAGGGCTAGAGAATGGGAGGTGATGGGAGTGACTGGAAATGATTGGTGGGTTTGAGTATTAGCGGCAATGAATCTTTGAACTCTACGATCACACGGGCAGGAGATGGATGCTGCATCGAAGAAATTAATGACTACATAAACATTTATTTCTTGTGAAAGTGATTTGAATCTTCTGCCTATTGTAACCTCCACCATTTCACTTTTATAGCAACTCTACTCGCGGAAGATAATATATTATTATTATTATCATTATTAATATTAGAGGGGGTGGGTTTCCCCATGCACTTAGACCAGTTATTGGTCCATTGTGCGCCCCCCTTTAATTTCTACTGTCTCCATACCCTACCGGTACTGGTTCGTGCTATCAGCTCCGTTCAGCCAACGAGGTCGGCCTGATATTTCCCCCATCTATCAGAGGCATTGTTGCCTAATTTTGCTCAGAGGTCTCCTAGAGACAGGAGGATCTTTTACGTGCCGTAAATCTACGACACGGGACCCACGGCATAAAGTCCCTCCCGGAGGACTTGTTCCCTGAATTTTTCCGCCCTTAAAAATTCCACGACCTCCACCGGATTTGAACCCGCATACCTTGAGTCATGAGGTGGGAACGTTACCCCTAGACTACGGAGGCCGCTCAAGATAAAATATAACTAGGCTTTCAGTTAAATTTGCAATAGTGGTCGAAGTATAAATGATGAAACATCCTGTATATATATTATAATCAGAGTAAGTAAAATATTTAGCTTAAATTTGTCAGTGTACATAATGTAAAGCCCGTAACAATATTTGTAGCTTGCCAGATAGGGTACCTAGACCAGAGTCATAGTACGAGTAACCGCTGTTTACAATAACATGCCACTGACAGGTAAGTTCTAAAACACAATCACATACATAATAAAACTTCCTAAAAACAAGTGCTGAATAAATAATGTTAGGCTTGACAAGTAACGAGAGCTTGTCAGACTCATGAATCGATCAATCGATCAGCCGAGAATTCGATTCTGCTGCTGTCGAGACTCAGTCAATACGATACAAATAACTTCTAATGTACAACACTTGTTCAGATGCTTCTTTACAGGACGCTATTCAAGTCGATTACAATCGATTAAATCCTTTCTTGTGTAATTTCTTTTTTTTTTTATTTCTGACTGCCCCATCCCCTTGTCATCATCGAGAAAGCATTCGAATGTCCACTGAGAGTCAGTAACATGCGAGACTGAAGACTTTCATCTGGACAGATATTCAAAAATATCATCATAAACTACTCTACCATAGACCGTTACGGCTCAGAGAGAGAGAGAGAGATCCCAAAGATGGTCAGCTTCATAACCTTACAGGTATAGTTCTGAAGTAATTCAAATTTATAATTAACGTCTGAACACATGGTTTGTCTGCATTCACGAGTCAGTACAGTCCGATAATATTCCAACTGTCATCACGATTTTTCATGACTGTCCAACAGAGCTGGTTTACATAAACTGAGATGTTATCTTTGACTTTTGGTAAGCAACGGCCAGACAGGATAGATGACAATTATTACTAACTTCCTTTCACAACAAGACTGCGGGATAGGGATACTTTCCCGCTTCTTCCTAACCAAATGTTCAATGAATTGACTCACTGGTTCTCCAACTTGTTTGTTGACTGACTGACTGACTGACTGGCTGTTTGGCTTCTCTTTATTTCTTCGCGACATATGTCTGATGTGTGACTGCTGCTTTCGTTGTTTAGTGAAGTCGTAAGTTAAAGTTGTTGGAACGTTTCGGCTTACATTACAGCAGCCAACTTCAGGATGAATGTGAGATGGAAGGAGGTGGTGGACTCTTAAGTTAATAAATTAATTAACTTTACAGTGTGGATAACTATTGATAATGCCACTAAATTAAATTTTAACTACATTTATTTAAATCTAAATTCATATTCGTTAGTTAAAAAAGAAAGCTTACTTATTTCTCTGAAATTATATGGAAACATATGTATTTCAAATGCACAAAAATAAATGAATATGAACTAGATAACTATCAAGAAAAAATAAGATAAAATTGTTCCGGTGTCCAAGCCATGGAGATTGCGCAGTGGTGATAATATCACGCGCAGTCTTAACCTCGGAACTAGACTGAAAGGAGTGGTCAACTTCACGCTCAAGCTGTCTTACTCCTGAGGAAAAAGTTTTCGATACACATTGGATAGAGGACTGTGTTGGGCTTCTAGACCGATCGGAGTGCGGTGGCGAAGACATTACTGCATTTGGCGGGATTCAAACTCCATTTGCGAAGTCGTAACCAGTCACTATACTAAGTTATTCCAGCTCAAATAGGCTAGAACTTTATAAGGAACTGGAAAAGGGACATTTGGAATTATAAGCACTCCACAGTGGATCGAAACTTTCCAATCTTTTTGCAACAGATGGTCGCAGAGCCATCCAAGTTCGTACATGTATCTGCCTGCGTTAATTTGTTTAGAAACCGCAAGAGAAGGAATAACCTCTGCTATTAATACAAATAGGTAAATGGCAACGAACCTAACAATACCTATATAATAGTCGTGATATAATTTATACAAATATAAAAAAGAAACAAAAGCGACTTCCTTAAAGACGGCACCGCACAAGACAGCTGCAATACACGGCTTAATATCCGCACGGTTCTTTATCCTGAACAGTATAATGAAGCAGTCATAGGAGCAGTTGGTCCCCTTGGGGTTAAAACCGAAACTGCTTTCCCTTCAACAGTAAGATATTCTGTAGGATGTCTCAACGGAGTAACCATGGCGACATATGGCATAACTGTTGGCCACTGTGGCAGTTGGCGAAAAGGTTACAACTGTGTAGACAGTATTTCGCTTTTGAAGACTATACCGTACCCTATCATTCTGACAGTCTGTTGCTAATTACTGAATCATAATATTGCAATTGTGTTAAAATTGATTGCAATACAAGCATTTGATGTTCTTACAGCAGTGTTTATGAAGAATTATATCTTCTGGAATAAAGGTCCGTAGAATTCGTTGAAAGTCAACAGACGCTTCGGAGGAAGTGTTTTTAAGAATAAGATAAAAAGGAAACAGAATATAGAGGCGACATATTATTCCGAAACATATGTAAACTTTTCAACGGACCACAATTCGTTATATCCCAGTAGATAGAATTATTGATTGGAATATTTTTTAATATATAAAAAGTCTTATATGGAGGAACGCATAAATGGGTGGATGGATGGAGAGCACGCATGTACTTAGCGATGATGTGTCAGCTACTTCGGTTACTTAACATCGAAGGCTAAAAGGTGCTGATTTTTGCTTTCGGTGAACTTAGAAGAATTAGGGAGGGAGCGCAACCTAGTTAACAACAGTACTATTCCTGCATTTTGTCCTGTGGATCTGAAGAAAAACCCTAAGATCTAAATCAAGATAATTGGTACCCCGTCCGAAATTCGAACCAACAATTTTCCGAATATAAATCGAGCCATTTTATCGGCATTAAAATTCCACGTCAAATATGATTAACGTGACAACTTTCCTTTTCATTTTTACTTCCTTCCAAAGATATATTATAAACGTAATATTCAGTTCTAAACGAAACCAACAAATATTTGTGATTTTATAGTTATATACAAACTGCCACAACCGCGTTATGACAAAAACGCTGACATTTGTACAATTGTGATTGCCGTACCAAAGTGAAGGTTTAGGTTAAGATTTGTTAACAAAGAAAAAAAGGTACTATCAATACAAAAAAAATACTGTC